GGGAGGTCGGTCTCCCTCCCCAGCTCCTCCTTCCACTAGCTCTGCTTCCGGGGTCTGCTGTGCCCTGAACAGCCATCCTTCGCCATGCCCCTCTGCCCTGGCTTCCTGCCTTGGAGCCAGCCCACCACGGACTGTAAACATGGCAAAATAAATCTCGCCTCTCAATATGTAGCTTTCTTAGCACGAGGCAAGTGACCAAGACAGCTATTATCAGCTGCTCTGCCTGATGACTGAGGTCTAACAGTTGTAAATCGGGCCTAAAATGGCCTACTGTCCTACCTCTACCACAGAGCCCTGAACCTCTACAGAAATGCCAGGCAGAGCTGACTATAAACAGACGTTCGGTGATGCATTACTTCAGATGAAATAAATGCAAAACACACACACGTGGCTTTTTCAAGGGTGACAGATCTTATTGCTGAAAGATCTGTCTCTTTCACCGACCCCCATGGCTCCAGTGTAATTTCTCACATAAAAAAGAAAAGGAGAAAAACAACAGTAACAGAAACAAGTAATACTACAGGCCACCCAAGAAGGAGAATTATGCTGGTCCCAGAATGAGTGGAGTAGGCCTAAGTGACAATCCTGTAACAGTCCAGAGGAGCACAGTGTCAGCAGAACAGAAGCGTAGGAGAGGACGGCACCTGGAAGAAGGGCCCAGAAGGCGGCCTGCATTTAATGATGCTCTAGCACATGTGGTTAGATTGCACAAACAGGCTCATAACAGGGCCGCCCCTGGTCTGGGCAGCCCTGTGAATACAGCTAAGCAGCTGCAAGGGTGAGACAGGGTTCTTGGTACACCAGGATCTTAACCTCTTGGAGCAGAGTGCAGAAAAGTAAATCGAGGCTCCGGACCCAGCCCTGTGCTCCCGGAAGGGAATGTGGCCTCTCCCAGCTCGGCTCCCGGCTGCAATGGATCTCAGACACCCAGGTGAGCTGTCACCAGAGGAATGGCTGCCGGGAAGGTGCGACAGGGACACTAAGTGCAGCACACACGTGCAACCAGCCGGGCGGGGGTGGGGGTGGGGCTGAAGGATGGACAGGCTCTCCCAGAACACAGAACACAGACCTCTGTCACATTCACATCATGCCCAGGGTGGTGTGCACGAGCGTGTGTCAGAGGAGGCTGGGGCAGGTGAGGAAACTGCGACTGCACTAGGAGTGGACATGGGACACTACCCTCCGGTGCCATAGCCTTGATCTCCCAACCGCGTGTACCTAGAATGGAGCTGTCTCTTCTGGGTGAGTGACAGCCTGTCCTAGGGTGAAAGCCTCTGATCTAGATGGGTCACTAAACTGGCCTTGGAGAGAAGGCGGGCAGATGACAAGTCACAGTGTGGCTTTGGCCTGACCTCCGCTGCCGCAGCAGAAGGCAGCTTTTCCTCCTGGCCCAGAGAGAGAGCTGAAGGAGGTAAGCAGGGCCAGCGCACGGTAACCCTCAGTAGTCTCTGTGACTGGGGTCATATGGTGCTTTGTACTGAGATTTAACAGAGGAGTAGAATTTGGGAGATATCCTTAAACTTCATAAACAAAATAAGTGATACAACGGAACAACTCCATGTAACATAAGCAATTAAGCAACACTGTTCACAACTCACATGAACCTGTGTCACTCCAGGGTGTGTGTGTGTGTGGGCGTGCACACGTGTGTGCACACACAGGAATCAAGGAGCTTAGACAAGGCGAGATGAGAACAGTTCTTTGCATTTGCTTCTGGTTCTATTCTGCACTCTATCCACAGGAGAACCACCCTCCTGCAGGTATGAGAGACGAACAAGTCAGCAACACAATTTAAAAATCATAGAATATGCTCCACAGAACGTGAGACCCTAAGATTTTGGTCTTCCTTGTAAACCCTCAAAACACACAGCCGGTTCTGCCTCCTGGCCAGGGAAGACACCGTGACATAAATCACCGTGCCCACGACCGCGCAGCCCTTCACCCAAAACTAAGTTCCCCACAGGGACACTTGGTGAACACTGAGGAATCGCAGAGGTTCAGAAAAGGAGACTGAACCTTTTTAAATTTTAAATTTTTATTTATTTTTTGGTACTAGGGATCGAACTCAGGCCCTTGTGCTTGTGAGGCAGGCAGTAGAACCACTGAGCCAAATCCCCAGCCTAGGAGACTGAACTTTACCATCGCTTAACCCCGCTGGCAGGAAGCTAAAACCTGTAATTACCACACGGGAGCACCAAGGCCTCTCAAGATGGTGTACGGCACATTCAGAGGGGCCCTGCACACATGCAGCTTTTATGACTGTGCCTACTGCCCAGTCCTTAAGACTCTGGGCCAGGGACTTTGCTCAGGGGTTCTGTGATTTTCGGTACCCCTCCCCACAAAAAATCTGCTTCTGCTGCTACATTGTAACTACAGCAGGTCACAGGCTGAACCAGACCCCTGCCAATGCTATCTTTCACTACCCTGCAGCTGGGCACAAGTCCACCACCACACAGGCTCTTGGCAAGAGACTCTGCCACCAGGGAGCTGTTCTTTACTAAACCTGGAGAGAGAGAGAGAGAGAAACTTCTCAAAAACCAAACCAAAACAAACAAACAAACAAAAATCAAGCCTTCAGAAATATATGAAGAATTAAATTGCACAACTACCATAAGGAGTCCAGTGAAACTCAGTAAGGAAGACAACTACACCAAGACACATCCAAGTACAGTTGTTGAAACCCAGTGATCGAAAAAAGTCTTAAAAGCAGAGAGAAAAGACATGTAGAGGAAACAAATAACGAAAACAGACTTATTGTTACAAAGTATGCAAGCCAGAGATAATGGAATGAAAACTTTCAAATATTAAAAGGAAAAACCTCAGTTGTCAGCCTAGAATTTCATATTCTGCAAGAATATTCTTCAAAAAATAATAAACAAACAAACAAACAAAAAAATCAAGCCAAATGAAGTCTACAGACAATGAACTGTTTTTCTGAATCCTTTATAACCCATCTCACACATCCAGGTCCTAGGAGAAATGACCAGGAACTTTGAAAACGTTGAATGCTAGTTGGGTGTGGTGGTGCATGCCTGTAATCCCAGCACTCAGGAGGCTGAGGCAGAAAGATCACTGTGAGTTTTTTTTTTCTTTTCTTTGGTACCAGGGATGAAACTCAGGACTCTGCGCTTTCCAGGCAGGCAGCACAACCACTGAGCTAAATCCCCAGCCCAATCGCTGTGAGTTTCAAGGCCTGCCTGTGCTACCTAATAAGTTACAGGATAGCCTGAACTACAGAGCGAAGAGCTTAAGAAAAAAATTAATGCTAACACAGAAATTACAATTTTAACATTAACAATACAAAGCTCATCTCTCAGACTTCACAGCAGCCAAGAGAAGCACGCAGATTGTGGGAAGGAGGGGTGGGCTGTGGTGGACCAGGAGAAAGGAGGGCCCTTTGCAGTCTCCAGCTGCCCATGCCCTCATAACCAGCAGGCAAGAGCCACTGTGATCCCAGCAGCACAATCCAGACATGACAGAAACAGGAAGTACAGTCTCAGGGCTTATTTAGCGCGCCCCCTTGTGGAGACTGGTCACCTTCCCCACGGGCCCTGCAAACCAACTGTGCTCTTGGAGGGTGTCTCTTCCTCCTGAGATTCTCCCTTCTCTCTTCTCTCTGCTTCCTGGCTGCTATAGGGAGAGCAGCTTTCTTTCACTAGGCCCTTCTACTGTAACATTTCTACCTTGGAGCCAGCTAACCATGGACTGAATCCCCCAAAATCATGAGCCACATGAACCATCTCTTCCTTAAAGCGGAAGGGTCAGGTACAGTATTTTATCCCAGCAATGAGAAAGTTGACTAATACAGTAGGTTGCTGCCAACAGGATGTGTTACCAGTGGAGCTGGCTCAAAGAGGTCCAGGACATATGGCAGTGGGAGGAAGGGGGCGTGGGCCCTTGGGACCTTGTGCTGCGCTGCTTCTCTAGGGAGTCCTGGGCTTTTCCGGCATTGGCACTGGTAAACGTGATCAATAACGTGAGCCAGGAAGGAGTTAATGGGACAAAAGTGCAGAAAGACAGTAAATTTTCTGTGAGGCAGAGAAGAGAGAGGTTGCAAAGCTCAGAAAGGGGCTCAGCTACGAAAGGAGAGGGAATGAATGCAAAGCTGGACATCCGACACAAGTCTTGAAATCCACTACAAGTAAGTATGAAATCCCTTCAGCCTTATCTACAAACTCAGCTGGAGAGCTACGAGGGTTGCCTGGGCCAGGGCAAGGGCAGGAGCACCCTGAGAAGCACTGTTTTAACCAGCACTGGCCACTGTTCTTCAGGGACAGTGTACAGCGCAGGCAACCACTGGAGGGCCCACGCCTGGCAGTCCCACGCTGCTCCCCACAGCCCCTGTGGCACCAGGGCAGGGCGGCAGGGGATCTGCACTGTGGATTTAAACCAGAGGGGAGGGGTCTGGAACGATTCCCCGAGACTTCAGACTCTGACTAAAGCTAAGGCTTCCCCCAGCTCTGTGTTTTTCTAAGGCAAGGGGAGTATAGATGCAGCTTCTCTATTCTTTCAGCTTACTTTCCGCAAAGCCTGACATTAAATATTTATACCTTTTCTCAGACAAGACTGGATGGGAAGGAGCAATTACAGTAATTAAAAGGAGGGTACACATGGAAGGTTGAGGGGGATAAATGAAGAACGAATAAATGTGAATAAATGAAGAACATGTCACCTGTGCACAGAAGAGTGAGCTGGGGTAGGGGCAGAGAATCCGCACAGGGAGGGTCTTAAAGCAGGTGTCCCATTTTTCAAAAAGGACAGAGGCCAAGGACTAGAGGGGACGAGAATGAAGACGTGTGGTGTCCCACAGTGAGTGTGAGCTCTGGGTACTCCAACTGTGGATGGAGCGGGTCTCTCGCTGGCTCTTAACAACGCCACCGAAAGCGGAGCAGAACCGAGCGCCTCCTGTCCCAAGGCCCAGGCCCACAAACCACGGGACAGGCCCTGCCATCCAGTGCCGCACCCCTCGTCCCGGAGCCTGTGGGCTGTTGAATACTTACCATCCTGAAAGACCCGCTCCACGTTGAGCCCGTACGTGGCACACGTCTCATAGTACGTGCACCGCTTCAGGTCGTTGGACAGCTTCCGCGCTCTGCCGTCGTCAATGACCCGTGGGTTCGTGGAACTGATGGCATCTGCAACAGGAAAGCGGGGCGTAAGGGTGGGTGGCGGGCCTGTGGGGTCTCGTCCCTTGGGAATCTGGAGTCGCTCAGAATAAATAACTGTCTCCAGCTCCAGAATACCCGTCAGCATGGGCCCCAGTGGAGAACCTCTGAAGCTAGCGTCCCGAGCAGCCAGGAGGAAGGAGAATGAATTCAGCCGCAGGGAAAACACGGAGAATGGGAAACCCAGTCAGGGTCACAGTCACCTCCCATCCAGGGCTCTGCCAGACGCACCCGGTAGCCTGGCACCAGCCTGCAGAAGTTGCCCTCACCCACTGTGCCCGGCAGAGGTCCCCGGGCCTGGGCCACATGCACGGATGCCACGTTGGATGAGACAAACCGAGACCTGCAGTTCCGTGGGCTCAGGACTCAGGCTGGCCCGGCGGGGAGCGGCGAGGGAGGGCGGTCCCTGGGGGACATGCAAAGGCCGGGCCGGAGCACTAAGGGGGAGGACAGAGAGGCTTTCGGGGCAGGGGACAGGGAGCTGGTCCTTGTTGGCCACCGACTTGCGGTCATAGAAGCCTTCGGATTGGGGACACCAGCGACTCCTGCCTGTTCCCTCAGCTGGGTGGCCAAAGTGCCACACCCTGCGGGGGCTCCCGAGTTCTGGCAGGAACAGGAAAGGGCGTAAGGTCCGGGCTGCTGTGTGCGGATGTGAGGCCACAGGACAAGCAGAGGGTTTTCCATCCCGAATCCCTGCACAGGACCAACAGGATCTTTCCACTGTCCGGGTGGCAGCAGAACAAGCCACACAGCCAGCAGCAGCTGTGTCAATCTCAACCGATTTTGCACAGGAAGGGTGTTCGGCACCAGGTGTTCAACATGCTACAGAAAGACGCCTCGAGGAAACCGCTTACTCAGTCCTGTCTTCTTTCTCGATCCTTTCCTTGATCTTACTTTTTAGCCCTATGCCCGAGGTGAAGTGGTGTGAGCTGGGAATCTGCTGGACAGTGCCCGCCCACAGATGTTCCAGAACTGCCCAGGGATGGCGGATGGACAAACTTCCACCTGCTCTCCTGCCCTGCACATCATTTTGCAACATACGTGGAAAACAAGTGTTTTTCACTGGATCTTAGCCAAAAGCTAAGGAGCGATAAGAAGCACTTTTCAAAGGTGTACATATTTCTTAAGAAAGTAGTATGAAAAAAGAAATCCCTACATTTTTCATTTAGCAGGGTCTTGCTATGAAGCCCACTCTGGCGTCAAACTCCTATCAATCCTCCTGCCTCTGCCTCCCGAGTGCTGGGAGTACAGGCGTGCACCACCATGCCCTTTGCATCCCCTAACTTCCAGAAGCTTCACAACAGTTTGGGAAACAGAGGCCGCACAGCATCTAAGTAGCCTGAGTTTCACCCGGGTGTGGGCCCCACAGTCCTACAGAGCCTGCCCGCCTGCGTGCACCGTGCATTCCACAGCGCATTCTACCTGGCCGGCCCTTTTCACTCCACTTTGAGCCGCAGCTTTGTGAAACCTGCTCCTCCCTCAGTCCATCTACCTCACAGTGTGCAAGACCTGTCCTGCCTGATGCACGCTCACCAACCCTCACCCAGCCACAGCCCGGCCCTGCACGGCCAATGTGGAGGAAGGGGCAGAGTCTCCTGCACCCAGGGAGCACCCCAACTCTCCAGCCCCCTACTGGGGCGCTCTGGTACCGGGGAGGCTGCCACTCCCTCAAGAAGCGCCCCTGACAGAAATCCTGCCATCCTGTGAGCCCGGGGCACAGCCACACCTCAAGTGTGGTCACAGCCTGCAGGCGGGGAGAGGACAGATCCAGACCACCCCCCACCAGAGGGCCCCAATGTGGTGCCATCCACCAGCAGCTGTTAGCTCAGGACCCCAACTCCCTGAGGGTTCCAGAGTCCCTAAGGAGCTGATCACGGCCTCCTCCGCACAAGCACAGACGACTTGGAGGGCCGGGCTCCTGTGCAGGGATGGGACAGGGGGGACCTGCTTCTGCTAGCCAAGCAGAACCCCTGACCGAGATTCGAAGACCCAAAGCGACCACTGCCACACATGTATCACACAAGTCCCATCTATGCCAGCAGGGCCGCTTAGCCGTGTATGGCCCGCTTCACCTACCTACACGCAGCAGCTCTGGGGTGCACTAAGAGGGCAAACTCACCAAATTGACCCTCCCGCGGACCGGGGGCCTAGTGCCCCGTCACAGTGTGTCCCTGCAGGAGGGCAGCCTGTGTTAGCCATGCAGTTCCAGACCCCAAGCCCCTGCATGCAGCCTCCGCTGACTGTCGGCACACAGCTGGGCCAGGCTGCAAGACAGGTGCCATGTGATCTCTTCCTCTTTGAGATGGTCATGCACTCACTTTAAAACACTCATGAAGGGCCAGGGATTTAGCTCAGTGGTTCGGTGGCCTGTCTTGCAAGCACAAGGACCTGAGTTCAATCCCCAGTACCAAAAAAAAAAAAAAAAAAAAAAAA